AAAATTCTTTTCACATCAAAATATGATATTCTAGGGATGTTTTTTACTTTAACATATGACAATTACAAATATTTTGAAATAATCATGATTTTTTTATATCAGAATAGAATCAAATCAATTAAATTAAGATATCACAAAGAAATACATTGCTACATAGAATAACTTCTAATTATAATTTAAGTACATCTTTATTAAAGAATAATAAAACTATCTCTTTACATTAAACATACATACGAAAAATGTTTAAAATAAAATTAATATAGGATCATACAGAAACAGAACAATTATTAGCGTAAATCAAAATACTATGCATTTATTATAATCATTTATTATAATCAATACTTCAGTAAAGGAAAGACAAATTTAGGAATCAACAGTTAGCTGATTTTCGGGTAGAAGTACTTTTTCTCCAGGTTTGAAAGCCGGCATTCCGAGATATGGACAACTGGCACATCTGAATGCGTCCCCTAAATAACACTAAATAGAGAAATTAATGAATAAGGTTGAAATTAAAATTTAATTGTATAACTATTTATTTGTATAAAATTTATTTGTATAACTATATAACTATATATGTGCAATACAAAAAGAAAATATGAAACATACATTTCCACAAGAAGACTTAACAGTGCCTTCTGGTGCAGCTTTATCACTTAATTCTTCCGCGAGTCCGCATGAACAGTCTTTGCATGCTTTTCTTTTACCTGTTGTTGCACAGACTGAAACCATTAGATTTTATTAATTTATGTAAATTCACAAAATCCTTTTCATTTAATTATATAAAATAAAAATAAGATAACACATTTTATTATTTAACATACAACAAACCCCTTACCCCTTACTTACCCCTTAAAGATGATGCATCTGGCTTTATGAGATCAGATTCATCCAAAAGTTCATCCTCATCTATTAAATCTTCTTCTACTGAGTCATCTAATTTCCATATATTAGGTTGTTTTTTTGCAAATGAAAGAGGAGCACTTGAGCCCACCTAAATTGTTATAAAAAGCTATATAACATCTTTAATGAATTTTATATTCATTATGTATGATTAAAAAAAATCATAATCTTACCTCAAATGATGGTTTATTCGCTAATACTTTACAAACTTCTTCTACATTGCTATATACTTTTAGCAAAAGATTTTTACTCTCTAGGTCTTCATCCAAGTTCTTTCTCTCTGTATCTTTTACTTTGAAGCCAGATAATTTTAACCTTGATATTCTCTCAGAATAAGTAAGTACTGTCTCTAGCTTTTTATCCACTGACAGTGGTTCATAAATGACTAACAAGCCATTAGGTTTTAGAATTCTTAATGCTTCTGTTAAAAAGTCCTTGTTTGTATAGGGTTGTTTAAAAATGACAATAACGACATCGAAAGTAGATGCACCATGACTTTCTATACTTAAAACAAATCAATGCTTTCTTTATTATGTATGAAAAAATTTTATAAATTATGTGTGAATGTCTCTCATAGCCATTTCTACTAACATAGATTAACTTTAATCTTAGTTTAATTTGTTCTTTATCTTTTTCTAATTCTTAGAACTAAAAAATGATAAAAAAATGATTAAGTTTAATCAAGATTAAAATGAATCTACATTAAATGGATAGAGAGAGACATTAACACAATAAAGAGACATCGACACAAGAGATGAAGTATATACTCACCGTTTTTTACATTCGATAAGCTCGCAATATGCAATTTATCGGGATCTCTGATACGTTGCTTGATCATGGCAATAAATTCCGCCGTGTCATCGGAAGATATGTCGTTCCCAGACATGACGAGAACTTCATTTCCCTCATCGACAAGAGACGTCATGTTGCAACAACGAATGATGACAAACAATAATTAGGAAACCACTGCAAAGAATTTGTATCGTGTGATGTAAAGGTGTGATGTAATTGGAAAAATAGCAGCCCTTGAAAGATTATTTTTCCGTCGAATTCGAGTTTGGAGAGGTTACTTTAGAATTTCTCGAGTGTGTGACGTGCGCGATAAACTATCCGGGCTAAACTACGCGATGCTGTACGACGCGCATGCGCACAAAATATCAGGAAATGTCAAGAAAATGTGAAATCGTCCTCTTTGTTTGTGTTTTATTTATACTCGTACATATTCCTTCTCTTTGTTTCGGACACAGAAATCATTAACGTCCATTTCTGTTAGTACAGATCAATACTTGAATCATGATTTAATTTACTTTTTATCTTTTTCTTAGAAGTAAAAAAAATAAAAAATTATATCGAGATTAAAGTTAATTCATATCGATAGAAATGGATATGAATGCAAAAAAAATCGTGTTATCGAAATTATTAATCAAATGAATTGATAAATAAAAAATCAAACTAAATAAATCTTGCCAATTTTCAATATCGAATACGTATGCATATTTTCAAAATGCATATATGCAATTGAGATATAAAAATTTGTTTATCGAGTATGCTTCAATTTATCCGATTTAATATATTATTTTTCGCGAAAAATAAATACATGAATTTTATCTTTATAAATATGAATTTTTTTCAATAGTTAAACTGTGTACTGCTTCAAAATTATTATTTTTCCAGGTCATAGCAATGACTGCTTTGCTGCTCTGTACAATTTATTCACATATAAAATATGTGTACATATAAATAAACGATCGATATCATACTCCATATCATGTACCCATCACACTGTGTAATTGAATAAAATATAATATATTACAGAAATAACCAGAACTTAAATAAATACAAGTTGATCCCTCCTCCTAACGCCTTAAATGTCTGTCTTAAGTATCTCAATTTTTTTCTCTATTTAAAAAAAATATTTTACACGAAAATATTTTATATTCTCATCTTTTAAATTGGAAATACCACATGTAAGAAACAAAAATTCCTTATCTTATATCATACGATAAATTTGATACATGTATTATATTTCCCTTTTAAAATCGTAAAATTTTTATTTAAAGTTTTCCCTAAAAGAGATTAATTGAACCATTTAAGATGGACATTTAAAATAGGACGGTCTATACATTATTAATGTTTGGGATATATATATATATATATATATATATAAAATTATATATTATATATATAAAATTAATCATTTATCAAATAATAATCAAAAATTGCAATAAAACAAAAAAGATGTTGAAATATATTTCTCAATATATAACAAAATTAATACTTTATATAAAAAAATATATTTTTTATAAAAATGATAATTTTTTTATATAAAAATAATTACTAACTTAATCTGTTTGTATCAAGATATCAAAGTACTCATACTCGAGTTCTCGATTCCACTCGCATCATGTCATCGTGACTATTCCGAATGTTTCTAATTGTATCTTCGTGTATTTTTTATATCGTGCGTATCTTTTTTCATCGCGTGTATTTAATATCCTCAATAATTTACAGACAGAACGTCGTAGAACGTTGTCACAGAAAAATGTAAAATTGTGTACATGTAACGTAGAAAATATCTTTTCTGGCAGTTATAATAATGTTGTACTATGAGATTTATTACAAAATACAAAACATAGAGTCCAAATTTTAGCGAACAATCAAACACTATTTCGTATTTCACACATTACGAAATAAACAATGTGCCACGCATGATTTATTTCTCGACACAAAACTTAATATCAAAAAATTATACCCAATAATCAAATTGCGCGAAAAATTATAAGAGAGCCAAATTTTGGTTATAAAAATATACAGACAAATATAAAACAATAATGCCAGTATCACCGCGATTACTAACAGATTAATTCCTAAATTATTCATCACACATTGTATATTCAATTTGTAGAACATTTCCTTTTCTCATCACTTTCAAAGCCAGAATCGAGATCATCGCTCTGGCACTTTTTTAATGTACAGCCCTTGGAGTTTTGTCTACAAGCTTCTCGCTCTAACAACTTCTTAATACTATCTATTAAGTGTTGAAAAAAATTCGGGTAACCATCATATCCAGGAAACACATTAACATCTATTATCGCGTATTTCCCAGTATGATTTTCTATTACAACATCTATTCCAACTAAAACAAGTCGAAATATCTCTTGAATATTCTTAACAATCCTTTCGAATATTTGGAAATTCGGTTTCACAGTCAAGGGAATGTCTTCTTCGGACAATATAGACCACTTAGATCTACTCCAACTTTTCGATATATCGTGCGAGTTGAAGAATATTGTATTTAACGAATTACAGTCTTCTTGATAAAAGTTTTTAAAGCTAGGACGCTCAACCACATGAAAATGATCCCCCACGACGAATACTTTATATAAAATAGCATTATGATTAATGAAATCCTGAGCGACGCAAGGTAGTTGACAGTCTTTCAAATCCCTTTCATTAAAGATAATCATCATCTGAAATTAAAAATTAAAATTAAACGTCAAAATAATTTTTCTCAAATTCTTTTCTTACTTCAGACGTATTCTCGCGCAAAATATACTTACCTTATGTGCGTCACTCGAACCATATGCGATAAGCGGTTTGCAAACAAATGGATACTTTATACCACGCTTTTTTAACATTGATGCTATTTCATGAACGTTTTTACTTTTAATTTCTATAAAGTTAGGAGTGAATATATCTGGAAAAAATATATTGAGATACATTAAACATACAATTTAGTTTCGCTTGCAATCATAATTATATAGTTATACAAACAATAAATACATACCTTTAAATCGGATTCCTTCTTGTATAAACTCATACGATTTATATCGATTGCTTAAGTTTCTAATATTGTCCAGAGGATCAATAACAATCAGATCTGAATGTTTTGCAATATATTCCTGAAGCCTTGAAACAATATCCTCAGCCTATAAAAAGATCATGGAATCATTATTATTAATATATCCTAAATAAAATAAATAATATGCTAAAAATCCTCATACATTTTTATCACCACTTTCTGCATGTGATTGCATATCTGTCAGCTTGTGTAGAAAAACATGCAATGGTCCCTGCTTCTCAAGGTTTAAATTTACATCGATCTGTAACATAGATGAAAAGTTTAAAGAATGAACAAACACAATAGAGCATAGATAATTTTGATACAAAAACAAATGAGAAATACATCAATATATATTAATAATATTAAAAAAGAAAAAAATGTCTACAAGGATAATTGTAATAGCAGAGACTGCCCAGATTAACATATTGCAAACATTCGTATCCATTATATTTGTCTTTATTATGCATAAAAATATATAGATATGTAATATCTATACATTTTTATGAAAATGTTGAAAATTCTTTATTATTCATAAAAATGTATAGATATTACATTTTTATGAGTAATAAAGAATAGAAAAAATAAAAAAACATGTGTTATATAATTTTCGCCAACGTTAGATATCTTTCCAGAAAAATAGTATTATAACTTGCAACCAAAATATGTTAATAATACATAACTTAAATCCCTCTTTTTTTAAAATTCCAAATTAAATTAAAATTATTTATAAATCAAAATTATTTCTACGTGAAAGTCAGCGTATGGTCGTCTATTATATTTTCCGAACCATGAAATGAATATCGTTCAAACTGACTTCTTCCCATTCAATTTCGTACAAGCAGGACTCGATGTAGACATCGGCGGAGGGAGGGCATCCTCGCGCGCTTTTGCTCACCATTTTTAACCGAAAGCCCTCGGACTCGCATATGTGCTCGAAATCGGTCCAATTGAACTTCTGCCGCTTCCTCTCGGGCACCCAGTAACCGATGACATACTTGTCGCACATGATTCCGGCCTCGCTGGCGTCAGCCACGCCGCGTTGACATCGATCACGTGCAAATCGGCATTCGGCCGACGACGCGGCTCGTGTCCCCTCGCGCTCCTCTCGCGTCTCCACCGCGAGACGATCGGCGGCCCTCATCCTCGCGGCGCAAATATCCGGGAAATGACCCTCCGGGAGTCCAATACGCTCATGCTTGCGCAGCGTGACGGTGGGACGAGGTTATGTTCCACTATTCGAGCTACGTCGAGCCGCGCGTGACTGATCCTACGACGACAGCCGTCGTCAGAATGACGCCTTCTCGTAGAAACTCGAGACTTCTCGAGATTCTCTCCGAATGCCGCTCACCCACTCGTCATACGTCGCACGTCGGCGTCGCTAATCCTGTTGTTTACCTTCCGACGCACACGCCGCCAAAAGTGCAACTCTTATCGGCCGCGCGTGATCGCAGAGTAAACATGTGCTCCTCCCGCGGCGGTTGGTTCGGCTATTTTGTTGGTCATGTGACAAGCTCCGTGAACGTGTTGATTGACTGTTTGATGAAATTTTTAGATCACCCTTGAATTTTTTTTTCTCGTAACGTGTAATCGATACGTTAAAAAATTCTGGAGTGCGACAAGTAAAATATTGCAGCGCTCGGTTTCGATTCGAAACGTTCAGCTAACGCGCGGATTATGATTGTGATGATTCGAGGAAGATGATAACGTGCGCGGTATCTACTTCT